TTTTTAACCCTTTTTAAAATGCCTTGCGATGCTTGCAACAGGGTTAGCAATATATAATTAAATACCTTGGTTCATTGTTGAGCCATGATGGGAATGTGGACGTAGATGTTGGGAGCTGCATGAAGAACACTTTATGTAAATGGAGGGAGTTGATGGGAATTCTCTCCGATAAGAATATGACACAAACTAAAAGCAACGTGTGTAAGATCATGATTAAGCCAGCTATGGCGTATGGGTCAGAATGCTGGCCAACAAGGAAGAGAGAAGAACACCTACTTAACACTGCTGAAATGAGAATGTGCAGATGGACACTGTGTAAGATGAGAGCTGATAGGCTACTTACTGAAACAGTATGAGCCAGGATGCAGGAAGTCACCCTTTTGGAAAAGAAGAGGGAGTATCGACTGAGATGGTTGGGTCACATGAGACAATGAGATGTGGGATATGTTGGCCAGAGAGTACAAGAGCTATAGTAGTCACAGGACAAAGACCACAAGGAAGACCTAGAAGAAAAGTGGTTTGAGATGCTGAAGTAGGACATGAAGAAGGCTGGTGTCTGCTTGGAAGAGGCACTCAACAAGAGCGCTTAGAGGCAAAGAACAAGAGCTGCTGACCCTGATTGATGGGAGAAGGCAAAGACGAAGAAGACTATTTCTGTAACCTTTTGCATCATAGAGTTTGGCCCAGAGACTTACATGGAAGTTGCCAGCACTTAGTTTAGGTTTACTCCAACTTGAATTTGCTCCAAACTGCAAGTGCTCCCATGTGGCACTGTCATATCCAACCACTAACTTAAAATTATAAAAGACCCAAGAGTACTTCCATTCTAAAAGACTTTACTACATTTGAAAAGAATGGTCAAGAGTCTCTCTCTCTCTCTATATATATATATGGTCCCCCTTACAGTAGTATCTGAGCACCTCCCAAGTATTTGAAGATCTATCCTTAAAACACCCCTGTGAGGTAGGGCAGTAGTATTATCCCCATTTTCAGACACAGACAGAATTGAGATACAGAGAGATCAGTAACTCAAGTGTGGCATTTATCCCCAGCTTTGGCTTGGGACAGTGCAGAACTGTACCACACAGGGGGACCACCAGAAGGCATTCAGTCTCAGTTGCACTGAAGAGGCAGCCGGGAGCACAATAATAATGTGTTACCCCTTTAATTTTTTTTTAATTTTTTTTATTTTCTTCTCAGGAGGAGTACAAAACCAAACAAGCAACACATCTTTAATGGCTGCAAAATACTCCCCTATAGCCTGGCCGGCCAGATCTTCTGTCCAGTGTATAAGAGGGGGCAAAGCCCCGGTTCCATCTACCTTCCTCCTGTACTTTTTCTGCCAAGATCTACTGAAGGGACCATCTTGATAGTAGCCTCTGTGCATCCTAAGTTCATTCACTGCAATTCTGATCAGCCCTTACCCTGTCCATTCAAGGGAGGGCAGGGTGTGCCTTATTCCCTCCCACCCCACTATGCAGCCATGTAAGGGACACCACAATCTAACTTCAAATGACTTGCTGAAGGTCACACTGGAAATCCCTATCAAAGCTGGAATTGAACTCAGCAACAAGCAAAATCTACTTGGAAAAACTAAATGTCAAATGCTGCTTGCAAGCACTCCCACTGATTTCACGGAATCACAGACGCTAGAGATGGAAAAGACTTAAAAGAGTATCCAGACTTCAGTGAAAGTACACCTGGGACTGAGGTAAACAGGAACTGGTCCTAAAACTGGTACATGAAGACAAACCTAAAAATATGTCCTAAGTGAATAATTTAATCCTGATTGGTTGCCTACAACTGATAAACAACAACAAGATACTGACAGATTCAATTCTGTACAAAGATTAACAATGGTTTGGTAATTTTTCCATTTGACTTTTTTTTGTTTTTCCTAATCTTAAAGCCTTAAGCCATGTTTTGCTAAAACAAATTCAAGTTGTGTAATTCCATACTGGCATTCCATTTCATATAGCTCCAGGTATGAATTATTACTATCTTACTCTGTGACATAATAGGGTGGAAGAACAGAATGTAAAATAAAATTGCAGTATTCAGTCTAATGATATATTTTCTCACCACAAAAGGTATGTTAGTACCAGAGAGCACAGTTTAATTATTAAACACCTTCTGAGTTAAGAGTGCATAACCAAGGAATAGGTAACAGAGTGACTCATTACTACTGTTAAAGTTTTCTAAGCTTGGATGGTAGATATATGGCTCAACTAGATATAGGCAATGCATCAAAAATTAAAGACATCTTTGTAAAAGATGCAATTCTCATTTTTTGTTTACTTATCTTTCTCCTGAAATATATATATTTCACTTGTAACGGTAAACCATAATTCAATAGCCTAATACCTATGTACTGTCTGGAGTGCCCTAACTAGGTTCCTAATTATCCTGCTCTACACACAGACATGCAGCTCCTCAGGTTTCAACTCTAGGAATTTCTGACTTACTTTATCCTCAGGGGGAGGGGCCAGTGCCAGAGCAGAAAAGATCAGAGGTTGGTACCTGAGAATCTGTGAGTAGTTTCAGTCCTAATGCTGAAGATCTTAAGCCCCTCTGGCACAACTCCAGGCCCCACACTTCCTTCATCTTGCCAATGATTTCCCTGCCACGCTATGTTCTGGGACCCTCCTCTGATGAGACTCACAAAGCACAGGGAGACCTTCACTGCTGGAAAATCTTTTGGATTTGGAAGGCAGCATGCCCTCTGGAGTAGCTGCTCTTTGAGCTCAACCTCCATGACCCAACATGTCTCAAAAATTCATCCCCCTCCCATCTACACAGTAGTCTCATGTAGGAGTTTCCACAGGCTCTGCAGGAAAAGGTTGCCTAGGTGGTGCTCCCCACTTTTGCATGCATTGGCCACATTTGGACCCCAATCCTGCAAAGACTTACTCGGGTGCTTAGGTCAATAGGATTATTTACAATGTGTAAAATTAATCATATGCGTGAGTCTTTGCAGAATTACATCCTTGGCTGGTATTTGCATGCTTTCACTCTCCTCCATATAGTGCATATTTGAGCCTAGGATGATTCTTTATGATTAGGTTGAGCAGTAAACACAGACTCAAAATACAACAGTCTAACTACCAAGACTATGTAGTGCCTAAACATACATACACATTTAATTGTCTAATTACTATGAGTCAGACACTGGCTTTGGAGTCCCTATTCAGTCTTTTTATTAGGCAAAACATCCAGATGAAATCAATGGGTTTTTTGTCTGAGGACAGACTAAGTAAGGATTCCAGAATTTGACTCACATTAATTAGGCAGTTGAGAGCTCACATATTTTCAAGCACTAAATAGACTTGGTAGTTAGGATTGCATATTTTGATTCTATATTTACTGCTTAACCTAGTAATAAAATATTATGCCAATCCCCCAAATTTCCCACTTTTGTATTATATGGAGGAGACAAATTGATGTAAATATCATCCAGTTGTGCTGATATATGGATGTTTTGCCTGGGAATAGATTTAATAAGAGCATTAATTGTTTCTTATTTTAATGAGGAATAAAAAAGAGCCAGAACAAGCATTGTCTCATGAAAGATCAAACTTCCAAAGGGAAGACTGGTGCCTTACTTGCATGCTATACAGTTACAATTAGAGAACGTTAAATGATATATAGTAATTTCTGCATAAATCCATAAGTAGCCTTGGTGCTATCAGTTAATAATGCTTTACTCTTCATAATATCAAATTATTTTTGCTTCCAAATGAGAACATATCACTTATGTATTTATTTCAAAGAAATATGCCTTCGGTGTCAACCCATTTGAAGGTTTCCTTACCCATGTCATACGTATTCGATCTACAGTGCTGTAGCGACATTCCGTGATTAAATTATCCCCCTGAAACACAAAATATAAGAAGTTCACAGTTATGGAGTTTAATAACATTTGGTTCAGATGATGATTAACTATTGCAAAAGTTTAACAAATAATGGTCAGAACACTGGAATCCAGGGATTTGAATTTTTGAAGGAGCAGAGGATGAGTACATTAGCCCAGACTAAAACTTTGGTGGCTTAGTTAATTCATTATTCATTATCCTTAGCGGGTGTAAATTAGTGTAGCTCCATTGACTTAAATGAAGGTATGTCAATTTACACCAGCTGAGAATCTAGTCCATTATTTGTACTGCAGTAGCACCCAAAAGCTCCAGTCACGACCAAGGCCCTCACACATAGGAAGATGTGGTTCTTGTTACAAATTCCTTACAATCTATGAGTATGGATATTTTGTTTGTGGTAAATCCTCTCACCAATTTCAATGGGACTACCCATGTGAATAAGGAAAAGATTTTCCCTATCATAAAAGCACCATATTGTTTGCCATGATTGGCAGTCTGACCTCAAGAGAATCCTGAGCTTGGTATGGCAGGAGGTGTGGTGAGCTAATGATTGAAATGAATTGACAGATTTATTTGGAAAAGATTGCACATTTTCTGTCTTTAGTATGTTCAATTAATTCTTCATTTTCATGACAACTAAATTGCTCTACCGTGTTTTTAAATAATAAAAAGCAGTAGCTCACAGAATAACTAATCGTCTATACAAAATCAAATGCAGTCTACATGTCCCTATGCAAAGCAACATGGATCAGAAATTATAACACCGGACTTAGGAGGGGTGCAGAAGTACTGACTGGACACATTTGTATTAGCCTTGTGGGAAATTCTTGTCTAACCTTTAATTAGAGGAGTTCAGGGCTCTCACGTGCTTGTTTATTCATTGACTGAGTTGTTAAATGATTACTAAAAAGAGGGAAACCTACTTTTTCTGAGGAATATTTTTTATCCCTTAAAGAAGATGGTGCCAGAGTGTCTGCAGCCACTGCCCCTCACAAAGTAGTCCTAAGATCTGAAGAATTCAGTGCTACAGGGCATAGGCCTGCTACTTAAAAAAGGTGTATTTTGTTAGCCACCAATAACCCCTCCCCCCCAAAAAAGGAGGGGAAACTGAAAGGGTTAGGTAATAGAATCATGGATTTAGAAAATTCCTCTTCTGGCCTTAGCGATTTAAAAAACAAAACAACAACAACAACAAAAGCCTACAACTTTCCCTGTAAGTGGAAGGAGAGAACAGGATAGAACTAGAAATATGATACTTTGGGGAATTTCAGAGCACACCAGTTCTGGGGATTTTAATGTTTATTTGCAAATGGATAGCTGAGTTATTTAGCCCTTATCTGCTGATTTAATTTCTCTTGAAATGGTCAGGAGATTACCTACCAGAAGGTCTGAATCCACCTCTGCCTATGTCATTCTGATAGTGTGTACACCTTTACAGCTTTGTAATTAAATTATGTAATTAGTTGTGAAATGGATAAAGTGGACTTATTGGTTCTAGGAGCAGTCATCATCCTAACTAAACTCTGACTCTTTGAAGAAGATGTATATATATACAGGTCTGCCTCCCACCTCCTTCTGGACCTAAGAACAAGGTCAAGAAGGAGGTGGGAGGCAGACTAGTAGAGAGTCTCTGAGTAAAGGGTAAAAAATAGGGGTGACGTCATGGTAGGGATTTGCTATAGACCATCAAATCAGGAAGAGGAGGTGGATGAGGCATTTCTAGAACAAACAACAGAAATATCCAAAACACAAGACCTGGTAGTAATGGGGGACTTTAACTACCCAGACATCTGCTGGAAAAGTAATAGGGCAAAACACAATATTTCCAATAAATTCTTGGGAATGTATTGGGGAGAACTTTGTATTCCAGAAAGTGGAGGAAGTAACAAGGAGGACAGCCATTTTAGACTTGATTCTGACCAACAAGGAGGAATTGGTAGCAAACCTGAAGGTGGAAGGCAATTTGGGTGAAAGTGATCAGGAAATTATAGATTTCATGGTTCTAAGGAAAGGAAAGAGTGAGAGTAGCAGAACAAGGACAACTGACTTCAAAAAAGACGACTTTAACAAATTCAAGAGAACTGGTAGGTAAGGTCTCATGGGAAGAAAATCTAAGGGAAAAAGGAGTTCAGGAAAGCTGGCAGTTTCTCAAAGAGACAATAACTGCAAGCTATCCTGATGTGAAGAAAAGACAGAAAGAATAGTAAGAGGCCAATATGGCTCCATCAGGAGCTCTTTAATGACCTGAAAATCAGAAAGAAATCCTACAAAAAGTGGAAAGATGGACAAATTGCTAAGAAGGAGTACAAAAGAACAGCACAAGTATGTAGGAACAAAGTCAGAAAGGCTAAGGCACAAAATGAGTTATACACCTAACAAGGGAAGTAAAAGTCAATAAGAAGAGGTTCTTTCAATACATTAGGAGCAAGAGAAAGATGAAGGAAAGTGTAAGTCTTCTCTTAGTGGGGAAGAAGAGTTAATAATTGATGACACAAAAAAAGCTGAGATGTTAAATGCCTATTTTGCTTCAATCTTCACTAAAATGTTAATATGACCAGATACTTATCACAATTAATATTAACAGCAAGGGGGAAGGAATGCAGGTCAAAATAGGGAAAGAACGGGTTAAAGAATATTTAGATGAGTTAGATGTATTCAAGTTTGCAGGACCTGATGAAATTCATCTTAGGGTACTCAAGGAACTAGCTGAAGCAATCTCAGAACCATTAACAATTATCATGGAGAACTGGAGGATAAGTGAAAACTAGAGAAGGGCAAAGATAGTACCTATCTTTAAAGTGGGGAACAAAGGTAACCCAGGGAATTATAGACCAGTCAGTCTAACTCTGATACTTGGAGAGATATTGGTACAAATTATTAAACAAACAATTTATGAGATTCCTAGATGATAATAAGGTGATAAGGAATAGGGAAAATGGATTTGTCAAGAACAAAGCATGCCAAACCAACCTAATTTCCTTCTTTGGCCTAGTGGATAAGGAGGAAGCAGTGGACATGATATATCTTGATTTTAGTAAGACTTTTGATACAGTCCCACATGACAGTCTCTTAAACAAACTAGGGAAATGTGAAATTATTACATGAATTTACTATATGGTGGGTGCACAACTGGTTAAAAAGCCCTATTCAAAGAATAATTGTCAATGGTTTGTTGTTAAACTGGGAGGGTATATCTAGTGGGGTCCTGCAAGGGTCAGTCCTCGGTCCAGTACTATTCACCATTTTCATTAATGACTTGGATAATGGAAATTGGCAAAGCTCCATTGATGTCAGTGGAACTATGCTGATTTACACTAGCTGAGTACCTGGCCCTTTGAGTACTGGTAGTTATTGAATATCCAGCAAAGCTTTCTTTGGTTGGTGATTAGCTCTTCCAGTTTCAAATGCATCATAAGCTTCTTGCAGAGAACAAATAGTATGAACTCAACAACTCCAAGGAACAGCACATGCAGGAACAGACAGAGAGACTGATAGGAATGTCTGAGAATACTTTGAATTAATTGTTCTACCATACTGTCAATAAGCAATATTATTAATTAATTATTATTATTATTTATATGTATTGTGGTAGCAGTAATATTGGAATCATTGGGTAGCAAATTATGATAATTTAGATGCTGGTGATTCATATTATAGCAGGCATAGGCCAGGGCCACTTTAAAGAAGGTTGAATTCCAACTTCCATTCTAGCCCTCTCTTTTTGAGTTGCTCATAATATACTCAAGCAAATGTGCTTTTCAGTCTCTTTTCTATACATTTCTGTTTATTCTTTAATCTAAAAGAGACTTTTCTCTATAATTGGCATACAGGCTTTTTCTATAAAGGTATTCAAACTTCTAATCCTCTCCCAGCCCCCACTTTCTCCTTCCCAAACCCCTGCACCTCTTCTCTGGAGGTGGAAGCAGTGCTTTCTCTTTTGAAGTCCCACTGGACTGTTAGCAGGCAGACTTCAAAAAGAAAATACTGCTCTCCCCTGCAAGCACAGCTGCACCTGAGAAGTGGCCAGGCTTTGAATTGGAAGCTAGTTAAAGGTTCCCATTTCAGTTTCTTACCTTAGAAGGGCAAGTATCAAAGGCACCTGGTATGGGGGAGGAGAGATAGAGATGAAGGGGATTGTGAGGGGAAGACTGACAGTTTTAAGCTAACATTCAGTCACTCTGGGGGCCTTTTCTTGTAACTTTCAACTCACTTTCTGTTATAGACCCCAATTCTGAAAAAATTACCAGGTGCTTAACTTTACCCCTATGTGTCATCCCATTGAAGTCAACGGGACTGCTCCCCCTGCATGAAGAGAAGCACATGATGAACTGCTTTGCTGGATCATGACTGGAATGCTCAGAGCCCTGCAGAATCGAGCCCTCAGTCTGTAGCCTCTCTGCCAAGACTGCCAAAAAGTTGCCAGTCGGAGCTAACAAGAGCTGAGTGAATAATCTGTACTGAATTTAGACTCTTTCTTCTCATGGAATGTCTGCAAATAGATGGTGATTGAATTGAATTTATTTGTTAATAAAAAGTGTTGAAGATTTTTGTATTTTTTTAAATTGTGCATTATATTATTTATTTATTTAACAATGCTCAGGAGTGTGCTAAGTGCCTCAGTGAAAATAAGACATCATGATTTCTTGCCCCAAGGAGATTCAGTTACTCAGTGAAGGTCAATGCAGAGCATGATGGACTAATGAAGTTTTTCCCCTTTAGCAATAAATAAAAAATTTAAAATAAATGGAAGACTTAGTTGACTGATTTCCTGTCTGTGTGTGAGGTTGAACATAAACAGCTCTTTGCAAGTACTTGATAGTCAAGATGTGTTGTGTTAGTTACAATTGGTCAGAAAAGCCATATGGTGTTGTTTCCTTTCCCTGACTGGATGAATGCACAAAAAAATTGGCACACTCACATATGCGAGTTTAAAATGTGCTTTCCACAAACATTTGTGACAATAAAACTCAATTGCTCAAATGTTTGTAGAAACCAAACACAAAAGAGATCAGAACATGGTCAAAGAAAATTATTTAAAAATTTAGGTAAATATTCATGGGATATTGTTTAGGGTATTTTCCCAACTCTAATGTGATGGTGGTTTTGTGAAAGGCAGGAAAGTGAGTAAGACAGAAAAGTCATTTCACAAGCAAAATTAGTCCTAACTATGAACAAATTATTAGTCACTGTGGCTCACAAACTATGGTAAGGGGAAGAATTAAGAGATTCATACAGGCAAGATAGTTCTTTCTTCCTTTAGATACTGAAATTCCTGAAAATTGAAGTCAAACTCATCGTCATAAGCAAGCAGCTTCTGTTCTTCACCCTTGCGGAAGTGACGCATCCTGATGGCTCTGCCAGCAAGATGGGCATGGAGAAGAACAGCAAACACATGAATCCCACTTGGCCTCTCAGCATCCAAGGCCTGACAAAGGGAAACCAACAAAACTGTCAGTACATCACAAGCACAAAAGGTGAACAGATGAGTGAGAATGTTAAATATATAAATGCACTGTATGTTTCCTCAGTTTATAGTAATATAAGCAGTGTGCAATATGGAGAAACAGCAAATATAAAACACCAAATGAAAACTGAATTGCCATTGTACAATAAAAACAATTATTTAAGTGGTATTTATTAGTCTTTGATGCGCATATGTAGCTCTCATTAAAATTAATTGGAATGCCACATTCCCAGTACACATCCAATAGAATCTGACCTTTAAAAATACAGTTTTTAAAATGGTATGTTAATTTCATAGCTACAGGCTGCATATGAGTGTGTCTTTATTGTGACAAATGATTTTCAGTGTGTTACCACATTACTAGAAAGCACATGCAAAGACAGGCAGTTTAAGATGAAAGTTTGGAATTACTGTTTAAAATGTTCTTCTGCCCAACTGCAGGTGAGCTGATACCAGAATACTGCACAATTAAGTCTAAAGTTTTCATTCCAAGCCAAAACAATTTTAAAGTATTCTTTGACAGATTAGCACAGAAGATAGGACTGAATTAGATTTTACCAATCTGGCGCACACATCCCCAAATTCCAAATGGTGTGAGTGTTTCAAACACAGATCCAAACGTACCCTGGGGTTCTGATTTCTGTTTAGATCGAAAACTGAAAAGCACATGTTTTCCAGATTCGTTTCACATGTGGCCTTAGATGGCAGCAACTTCACAAGAAAAGATCTTATCGTTTTTAGGCTGAAATTTGCTACAACCACCAACACCCAAATCCTCGCTCTAGTTTGGCCTTAAACCCAAACCATAGCTTAAATTAACTATACATTCAAACTTGTCCCAACTCTAGATAGGACAAAATGTCAACGAGAGTATTATATAGTATCTTGATCACTGGTTTCATACCATATCTCAATAACACAAAGTGGAACAGAATCCTCTCCTCAAAACTACATTAAAGGTCTTTTAATGAAACTGAGACTGTACAATTTAATACTTTGGGACACAGCAAAACCTCAGTACCTGTATCTTAACCAGTCTTCATTGATCGATCTAACACTGTTTTTCAGACTGTGACTTCAATACATAGAACCTTTAGCTTTTGCATAGATCTTAGTTAATCTCTGTCCACAAGTCTTCGTGGTTAGCTTTCTATACAATGATGTCTTTGCTCTGCAGAGTGAAATGTTTTATCTAGTATTATATTAAAAAGTGTATAAAATATTTTAATATTTTATATAATACTTCATTATATGGTATCAATATTTACAACTGGAATACTGAATACTACAAATTCAATGTCATAGAATAATCTCAGCACAGAGAAAATCATAATTTAAAAAATACTAAAAATTCTATTGTTTGAAAAGGAGGTACTTATATCCAGAAAGATCCAAAGTTTTGGTATCTAGTAAGTGGCAAATGCCTTTGCTCAAGTGACTTTAACTAATATTTGTTATTCTTCCCAGGAAGTTAATTTAAAAATGCCATCACAAATTAATACTGAGACCGAAACCTAATAGCATTAGACAGGACACATACTTCTTCCAGACATTCCAGAGTGCAGTGACCTTCTGACATGAATTCAGGCATGCCTGGTGGGATATTGTGAAAGAGGCTAACCCAGACACCAGCTTCAATAACCCCAGCATCATATTTCCGTAAATCTGTAGTATAAAATAGCCTCAGTCCAGAGTTATCTATCAAACCTGCAACAAAAGAGCATTGTCAACTGTGGCTAAAAATCAGGATAAAAAAAATCCAATCACAGAGTTTCTCTCAGATTTGTTCATAAATTTTTACATGAAAATCATGCAAGGGAGGTTTTAAATTGGAAATGGGTTAAATATTTTACAGGAATCAGAGAAGCAATAAATAAAGGTAACTCACAAGAAAGTGGTCAAATAAGGTATGTTGATATCTGAATCACATTAACCTGTATGAAAAATGTTTGTCATACTCCTCTTAGTCGTTTACATGGAAATTGAAGGGTACAAAAGCAGATTATGGGCAATCTTTGAAAGTGAATAATAAAATCTCAAAAGGCAGAATGTGTGATTTTAAAATAAAATATTTGAAAAGCAGCTCAACGCATTTTGGGGGTTTTTAGGTAATAGACATCTATTTTCATCCAGTTGTAAGTTTCTTTATCCCTTCGTAACACCTGTGGTATATTTCCTCTCTGTTGGCTTGACTGTAAAGAAGCCTTTTAGATTGCAGCCAGGGCTGGTGCAACCCCTTAGGCGACCTAGGCAGTCGCCTAGGGCGCTACAATTTGGGGGGCGGCGACCGCGGCGGTATTTCGGCAGCGGGACCTTCCGCCGCCTCTGTGGGGGGCGGCATTTCGGGGCAGGACCTTCCGCCACCTAGGGCGGCAGAAAAGCTGGTGGCGCTCCTGATTGCAGCATGTCACTGGAGACAAAGCAAGCCTCTTTTGCAACTTCTTTGTTCCCTGTCAGCTCCAGGAGCCTTTAATGATGAACATGATTATTCACTGTATAAATCCCAGAGAGAGGAGGGAGAACTAGATAAGGATATTTTGGTGCTACAATCAGGGACATCTCTAGATTTTTGCTATACTCTGTGCACACCATTGTTTTGTGGTAGTCAATGTACTATGGGTGTTGAGCTTCCTGTGGAAGTGCTAGGGACATGTTGTTTTTCTAGCCTGACACATGTCTACATTAATATGAAGTCACTGAAGGAAGCTAAGCCTTATGTATAAAGACTGACAATTTATAGGAGTCAAACTGATATTTGTCCAAGACCATTTCATACATCAAAATGTATAGTCACGTTTATGTATTTATTTACCTCATCACAATTCATTCCAGTCAAAAGTCAATTTAGTGCCTCTGATTATTTATCTTTGTATTAAGTATTCTTATTAGACAGGATATAATAGAAAAGAATATGCCTTCCTTATGTGTTAATTTTTTATGATCATTTCTGTCACTTCCTTCTTTGATTTCTCCCCCCTTTTAAAATATTTGCCTTGGAAAATTAAAAATGCAAGTAAATTAACAAGAATGTCAAAGAAGGCAAGAAACTTTCCAGTGACTTGTACAGTTCTTCTAAGAAACATAACAGACATGATGCCTGCAACCATATATTACATCAATACAATATTATTAGCTGGATATGTTAAGACAGATCTTTCCCTAACAACCAATAGTTTTTCTAAAGTGCCCATTTAAAGTATACAAGATCTAAACTGTGTAATTATTTGGGGACCTGGAGTATCATCTTGGGCACCAGTTTTTACAAGTTTGAGTTGGCAAACTGAATGTAAGATATCTCCTAATTTTTCCATGTCTATGCTATACATGACCAGTTACTATTGTTGATCTACGGTACAGTGCATGACTTACAACCTCTTCAGAGGTGACAAGGGAGCCAGCAACATATTGATTTTTAATACTTGTAGTACATGGGACTCTAAATTGACTTTTTTTTCTGAGCTCCTTGTAGGATCTCATCTCTTTGGAGCACCAATGTATTCTGAGTTTGGGTGGGTTTTTTTGGTCTTCTTCTGAAGCATCAGAGATGGCTACGGCTGGAAATGGGACACTGGATAGGGTGGCCCAATGCTCTGAGGTGGGTCTGAGCATTCTCTCTCTCAGGGGCTTAGCTGGTTGGCTCTTGATCCCATGCTCAGGGTCTAACTAATTGCCATATGTGGAGACGGGAAGGAATTTTCTCCCCAAGTCAAATTGGCAGTGACCTGGGGGGGGGGGAGGGGCAGGTTGCCTTCCTTTGCAGCATGAAGTGCAAGTCACTTGGCAGGATTATCTGGGTATATCTCAGTTAATCATTTCCCTGCCACTGCAGGGGCCTCAGGCATTGATGTACCTTGTTCCCTCGTATTCTCTGCCTGTGGCAAATAATAACTTAGTGTCGTGTGGACTGTAATACTTTGGTCTAATTTTGGTTGTTTAGTTTAGTGTGGAGGTGCTAGGTGGTGCTGATGGCTTGTGGTAGCAGGAGATCAGAATAGATGATCTGGTGATCCCTTCTAGCTTTAACCTCTATGACCTCATTGCTCCAGAATACGGTATTTTGTACAGTCAAGCCTCTTTATTGTCAATGACAAACCTTTTTCTGGCAATATCTGAGAGTTTCCAATGAGATTTTCAAACAAAACCTTCCTCAACACAAAAATTAAGGGTAACATTTTCACAATTGCCTAAGTGACTTAGTAGGTTTGCCAACCCTCCAGGTTAATTCCTGGAGACTCCAGGACAAAAGATTAATCATTAATTAAAGATAATGTCATGTGATGAAAGCTCCAGGAATTCATCCAACCAAAGTTGGCAACCCTACTTAGGAGTCCCATTTTTAAAAGTGGTTTAGGCACTTCGGAGCGTAAGTAAGTCAATTATTCTTAGGCTCCTAAATCATTTTTGAAAATGTTACCCTCAATCACTCAGTGGAGGCATTGGCTAAGATTCTGTTCTGCAACACCAGCAGGAACCGCACGAAAGATATAGTATAGAAAGAGGGAGGACAGATGTTACTTTATGACAACTCTGTGCCCTCAAGATTCTAGTCTGGTCCAGTAGCCAGGAGTTGTTCTAATAATTGACAGCATCCTTCCCAGAGCATTGTGCACTATAGGCCCTCACCCCTTTGCTCTTTGCATGCCTCCTGCAGCAGGGCATGCAGTAGTGATGGGGAGTGGGGGGTGGCAGCATAGGGCCACCTTTGGTGGTATCCATACTGTGCCTCCACTGGGCACATTTTCCCTTGTCCCTTGCTGGCTGTTTATGGCAACATATGGGGGCCAGAGCAGGAGGCAAAATCCTTCCCATGGCTTCCAAAGTTAAATCATCATTCCAGTCTGCCCATGTCCTTCATTTTTTTTTTTTTTTACAAGTCATTGGGAATAAAATCATAAAATTATACAGTGTGGTTAATTAAAACAAAATAATGGTTCTGTGAGGATAATTAACATTAAGTGCTCTCCTTGGAGCCTGAAATCTCTGATTTTCAGCTGATATTTCATGGAAAATCATTAAATGTCAGTGATATTAATGGGGACTCTTGTATTTAGTGCAAACTGGTTTTGACAATATCTGAGAAACTTACAGAGGTTTGCAGACTGGAGAAAGTGCTCAATTAAATAAATGTATTTTAGGTCGACTTGATTGTACTAATACAAAAATAGGAGAGAGATAGGGTCTCTTAAGCTATGAGCAGAGGATTTAATATGGACATGAGTTTACTAATGATGATAGATTCATCTTAAGTGAGAATTAAAAGGGTCTGTGGTACATTTTACCCAGCTAGCATTTTGCCAGATAACAGTAAATTCTCAGGTAACTCAGCACATATTTGTTTAAGATCCAAAATGAATTATTAATCTTTTCAGAAGTCAGCTTTGAAATGTCTTAGATTATTCTGGGATGTCTCTGGTTTCACAGCAAAAATTCCTTTTGCTTCTATTTAAGTAACTTTCTTCAACTTTTTGATAAAAATACAAAAAATAATATTATAAAAGGAGAGTAAATCTTTCAAGATATGCATCCTTTAATCTGTGATTTGTCTAGCATCCTGAGTAATCAGTTTTCAGAAACTGCCCTCAATTGTGGTAGCTTACTTATTCTTAGTTTAATCTTGTTCCCTGATTCCTCTACTGAATTTTTTTCAGAGTGGTAGCTGTATTAAGCTTATGCTCAAATAAATTTGTTAGTCTCTAGGTGCCACAAGTACTCCTTGTTCTTTTTACTGAATTTTTGTTTGTTTTTACATTATGTATGCTTCAAGGTCACTTGATGTAAGCTAATTAATGCTAGTCATCTTTCAGCAAGGCTAAAACTTATCAATGTAAGGAACAGGATACAAACAGACACAATATGAAGTATTTAATGATAAAACAGTTATTCATTGCTCATGATGGGCCTGATCCAGAATTCTTTGTGCATCCAAAACTTCCATTAATTTCAATCGAGTCTTCTGGTGTGCAAGGAATAAAGGATTGGCTCTGATAATGAATAGGGACAATATCAGAGGAAAATGGACTTCTATTTTGCTGTTAATTTGGTTCACCTGTTCTGGTGAAAGGATGAGATACATCAGCATGCAGTACATTCTGAAATCCTGAATATTATGGTTAGGATGAATGAACATACCTTCTAGATATGATGGATTGTCATAATGGACTTCCATAAGCACATACTGAGGGTCTGTTGATGTGCCAATGGATAAACCAACATGAGGAGGATATGTAAAGGCCTGTAATTTGAAACATGCACATCTGGTTAATAGGGTTCCTGTTCTGACCACATGTCAGTTTTGTTTTGATCAATATACCTACTGATTTTAAAACAGTGATATAACAATGTAAATAAGAATTATGTGAACTATGGACAAACAACAATTCTATTTAAAACTTACTGGACATGGCATCATGGAATGATATATCCCATTAAATAATAATGAATGCATAAACCAAACCACTAAACCTATATAAAATATTCAGCTCTGCTGCTCGCTAACAGAATATTCATCCTACATTTAGTGACTGAGCTGCAAAAGGAAATTAAATAAAAAAAGTGTCAGTATTGCATCATCAAGTGGGTTAGTTGGAGAATACTTTTTTTTATGAACATTTGAATCTAAAGTAAAAATTTTACTAATTTTTAAAAGCAACAATTTCCAGATAATATGCTGGTTATATGAGTTTAGACTGTTCTTAGACAAACTGTTGCATTCTCAGTAAAATTATTTGAGCCTCAAAAGTGATCCTACATCTACTAAAAGAGGTCATTTATCAAACTTCAGATCTTTCGGAAACCAAGTTACACTGTTTCCCAGATACAAATAGTATTTTTGCACTTTGTATTCTAGGATCCCAGCATTCTAGTGGTTTACATTAATGAATTAAATCTCACAACACTTCTAAGGGAAGCAATAAATATTATCATCCTTATGTTGCATATGAGGAAATTGAGGCACTAAGGGGTTCAGTGGCAAAGCTAGAATAGAACCCAGATCTTCCCTTTCCTACTCTAGTGCATTAATAACAGGATTATCCTTGCAAAGACTGTGATAAACTTTGTTAAACCAGAGGGGTAGCCGTGTTAGTCTGAATCTGTAAAAAGCAACAGAGGGTCCTGTGGCACCTTTAAGACTAACAGAAGTATTGGGAGCATAAGCTTTCGTGGGTAAGAACCTCACTTCT